CGTTACTCATTTTGACAAATACACTAGCGTTTATTGTTGCCAATACGGACCGCCAGAGGCGCTGTTCATGTTCCCATACTAATTACGATTTTAACGCAAACGCGTTCGTTACGTTTGCCATGATGAAAACCTTACACTCGAGCTACTGATTACGCGCGATAGAGTGAATGTGTAAAGGGGGCTATTAGCTCTTTTGACGTATGATCACATGTGGCTTTAGCAGATTTTTTGTATATTATTTTTTTGTTAATAAAATTTTCCTTTTTCGAAATTAACTTATTTTATTAAAAAATATACAGTCGAATTCAGAACTTCCTCCTTTTTGAAGTTGGATAAAAATAATTTAATTTGCATTGTTTAGTAACCGCAAAAACCTAAGAACTCCATTTTTAGATATTTTTGTTCTTTATAATTTCATAAAGTACTATTTGATAATTAATAATTATAAATGGTCTGATTGAGTTTTATCAATTAGCAAGAAAATGTGATGAAATTTTTGCAATCTAAAATAATTCTTTTTCTCACCTGAACTATAATTAAAACAGTATTAATGACTGCACTTCATTGATGCACTTCACTCGGAAACTGCATTTAGGTGGTTTTATCGAACAAAAGAACTGAAAAACCTGAATCGAATAGTTTATTAAAGTCATTCATGTAAAAACCGTAGATAATGGTTTTTAGTGGTGATTCACGTTGCTTTCACGTTTTATGTATGTATACTATAATTCCTTTCTCTGAACTCGTAAGAAGACTGATGAAGACTGATCTATGATTCAGAAACATGTAAACAGAAAATTGGTAATCAGTAGTAGAGCTCCTTGTGAAAGAGTTCTTCCAGGGAAGTAATGCGATCTTATCTATTTCTGCGCTCTTGTTCAGAGTGGCAGTGCCCCTAAGATCTTTGCGATTCAAAGGTGGCAGTACTTCCCTAGACGAACTCTTTCACAAGGAGCTCTACTGCTACTATCTGAAAGGAACTGTCATGAAACGAAAACAGATTTTAGGTAAAACTACCCCTGTGAGTTTGAAAGTTTGTATTTTTTTAGGGATCGGGACAGACCCATATCTTACGTCTACATTAGTTTTGATTATAGGGTAGAGAGGGTTCCCTATCGACCCTTAGGCTACATTTCCACCATGTGTGACGTAGCGAGGCGGTGTGCGAGGAAAAAATTCACCAATAGGATTACTTAATTTTCCTGGCCTCGCTTAGCGCAGCTCCGGTGGAAAAGGGTTAGCGGAGCTAAGTATTAGAATAAGTATAGCGAGAGATGTGTGCAAGGGATGCGGGCGAGTAATGTATGTTCCCCAGGGGTCAGTGCTATCACCAACCCTGTTTATCCTGCATATCAATGATATGTTACTGACAAGTAACATTCATTGCTATGCGGATGACAGTACTGGTGATACCTTTTATACTGGCCGTGCAAATATGGCCCAACAGGAAGTGGTAGAAGGAAGAGCACAACTTGTGTCTGAAATCGAGACCTCACTGGAGCAAGTCTCCGTATGGGGCCGACAAAATCTTGTCCGCTTTAACCCCACAAAGACACAAGTTTGCGCGTTCTCCGCTAAGAAAACTCCATTTGTTATAGCGCCTAAGTTCCAAGGCACTCCCCTCCACCTCACCTCTAATAGTATAGGCATCCTTGGCGTCGACATCTCGAACGAAGTCCAGTTTCGGGGTCATTTGGAGAATAAAGCCAAAATGGCTTCTAAAAAGATTGGTGTGCTCAACAGAGCGAAGCGGTGTTTCACATCGGGGCACCGGCTTTTGCTATACAAAGCTCAGGTTCGGCCCCATATGGAATACTGCTCGCACCTCTGGGCTGGAGCACCTAAGTATCAGCTTGATCCACTTGACTCCATCCAACGTCGGGCTGTTCGAATTGTCGACGACCCTATGCTTACAGACGGTTTAGAGCCCCTTAGTTTGCGGAGAGATGTTGGCTCTCTATGTGTGTTCTACCGTCTGTATAACGGGGAGTGCTCAGACGAACTCTTTGAGTTGGTGCCTCCGTCACTCTTTTACCACTGCACGACCCGCCGAAGGAGAAGACTCCATCCCCACTTCCTCGATGCTTGGCACGTCACGACCACTCGAGCATCTCGTTCGTTCCTTCCCCGAACCAGTAAGATGTGGAATGGCCTTCCTCCTGAAGTGTTCCCCTTGCGCTATAACATGGAGTTCTTCAAAAGACGTGTGTAAACAAGGTTCTCCGGAGTCGGCAACGCATGGGTGATGCCAGAGTATTGCTCGTGTCCATGGGCGACAATGACCACCTCCCATCAAGTGGCTTGTCTGCTCGTTTGCCTACTAGTTAACATAAAAAAAAAAAAAAAAATAAAACAAAATGGTGTAGGAAACTAGAACTACTGAAAGTATGACACTAACTGACATTGACAAATCGCCACCACTCACCCCATCACACCGTACCCCGCCCACGCATAACTGAAAAGAGTCTGTAACGCATCTTCGCATTGCGTCGCTGCACGTCTTCTCACCGTCTACCTACCTTGCACAGCTTTGGTGATAAACATCACACCATTTCACAGCGCTGCTACACATTCTCGCACCACCTCGCTACCTCGAACATCTCAGGTGAAAAGGCAGCCTAAGGGTATACGAGAAGGGCTCAGGTTCTGACCCCAGATCAGCCAGTGTACAGGGTTGTCACAGACTTCTGTCACTTGACTTCATCCGGTTCTTGAGAGGTTAGTGCCTCGGGTGAGCCACCCCGGGTGCACGTACAATACCCCTATTTTCCAGATAGGTATCGGAGCTGTAGGCACGCTCACGTCCCGTTGTGCATTGCACGACTAGCGGTTGCCACCGCTAAGCCGTCGACTCTGAGTCTACTACCAAATCTCCTCATTGGTAGCAGAGCTGTAAGGCAAATAATCATTCATTACATAGGTAAATAGGAATAGAGGATAAGGAATAGACGCATTTAGCTTGTGTATGCGTTTATCTCCGCGACGAACATGACAAATGATTCAAAATTTCAGACGCAAGTATTTACAGTCGCACAACTTTGTAAGTTATAATAAAATCCTTTTTATTTTCATTATAACTATATACTGGTTCATTAACAGCGCACCTAGGTCTAAATAATCGCTCTTTTGTATAGGTAGCTTAGTTAAATAATAAAAGTGCGTCTATCCATATCGAATAGTATAGTCGCCTCGATTTTTCGCGGTATAGATAGAGATAAGGGACAAAGGACAAAGCAAGAAAGTTAGGAATAGAAAATAAATACGTTATTTTAGTGAAAAAGACATTTAAATGATAAAAGTTTAAAAGTAAGTAAAAGTACCAAAAAGACAAATTATTCACAGTTCAAACAGCGAACATTTCCGTATAGAATGTTTTGATAGCTACAAAAATACGAAGTGAAGTAGGTAGTAACTTTAAATACGTCTATATTTATTATTAAAGATGTAATACGTATATACAATATTATATTATATATTAAAGATTACAAATAAAACATTTTATTATGAATTTTATATCCTTCTTATTATTTCCATCGCATGGCGTCTATCCATAGAGGTAGGCATGTATCCTCAAAAAAAATAGGTTTGCAAAAGGTCAATTTCTTCAAAATCAGTAAATGTTAGATGAATAAAATCAAGTCTCAATGTAATATAAAAGATTAAACTAGTAATATCCATAGGAATTATTCATGGTAAACTAATAATTTTTAAATTAGGTGGCCCTTTCAAAAAATGGGGAATCTAACCCGGTTTTACCCTAATTCAAATTTAACAGTATGTCTTCTTGGTATTGAGCAATAAATTGTTAATATTAAACCTTTGAAAGGGTATCGTTAATATATCAAAAATCAAAAGACAATGTTAAGTATGAAGCTTCATTCGCATCACGAGTATTTCTCATTTGGTCGAATATTACTTATTTCATAGTAATTGTTTCAGATGTATGTCGGATGGAGAAGAAAAGTAGACCCCCAAACCTGTATTGTCATACTTTTTACGAATTCATCATTTTGCGTCTCAACACGCATTGCCAATCCTATAAAGACTTTATTCTTTACTAGCTGGTAAGGGCGCGTGTATACGCTAAGAAAAGTCGCCGGGTCTAAGCAAAAATTCGTGCATTGTCAGTAAACGAACGTTTATGCGCGTGGACTGATTTTTCAAAGTACCACTGTTGCGCCACTAATTTCATTGCGACTAATAGAATACATGATTTATTTATAAGTTTACTAGAGGAACGACCCGTATTGTGGGACAAAACCTTAGAGATTTATAAAGTTAAACGACGTACTTTTGAGGCATGGAGAAAAATATTTATAATTCTATACATATAATTTGCAATCACCATTTTTTTATTAGTAGTCAACATATTTCTTCACATAGTCTGTAGTAAACATAGTAAAACGACATCTACGTGGAAGTGCACTGACACGTTTACCCTACACATCTTCCCGAAAGCATCGTATCGGGTACATACTCATCATTCTTGTCTGCAACAGACACGAAATATTTTCCTGGCTAGATCCGTCAAAATTCTTGTCGTGTACAAGGTCATTCTCGTCTTTTCTGTTGCGGACACGACGAATTTCTTAGCGTGTACACGCGCCGTTAGCCTGCGTAGAATAAATTCTTATCGCATCGAAAGAACTGGTGACAGGATTAGCCAATTGGCATAAGATACTCGCCGATTGGTTGTCCAGAGTATGCCAGACTTGCAGTAAAGGGATGATATGTCGTGCGGGGAGACTTCTTTCGTGCACCCCCTTGAGTAACGTACTGTGTGTACTATACTTACTAATTTTCATAGTTTTATTGATTCTCTATACCATCGAGTATATAACCAGAATAGAGACGAAATAAGGGCCATGTATTCCTGGTAACACATTAGCGATACAGCTCTTATAAATATCAACTCCCGTTTGCACTGAAATATGGACAGGCCAACTATTGACCTGTGCGTACGTCTCCGTATATTCCAAAAAATATTCTGTATTTATTGTAATAAAGATAATATCTCTAACAATGCCGTGCTGTTATATTCGGTGGCGTGGGAAAAACAACAAAACATCTAATTACAAAACAAACGGAATCACATATCATCGGTAATTAAATATTAAATACGTAATTTTCCAATTTTCATTCATTATAGCAAAGCTAAAGTTAACTAGTCGATTTGAAGTTAAACAGGTGACGACACCCGTCAATTGTTTCGAACTCGGGCTAGCCAATCGGAGCGCAGTTGTCACAGTAATGATATGGCAGAATAGTTTTCAAACAAATTAAGTGACATTTCGTCTCTATTTCTGGTTATATATTCGATGCTCTATAGAGACTTTCATCACCTATTTTACCTCCTTTAACATTTATTTTTGTGACAGCCTATACCCTTTTCCTAGTTGACATCTATTTCTAAACGAAAATTTATCAAATTTGGTTCAGCGGTTTGCGTGAAAACGTAATAAACAGAGTTACTTTCGCATTTGTAATATAAGTTTGGATATGAATTGTCCTAGTTTAATAGTACATTTTCAGCCTTTCTAGTCATATTGCTGGTTACATTGGCAGTCCAAAACTGCGAATCGATAAGAATATGTAGTTGTTTACCGGAAGATTATGATTGCACGGATGGCTGGGACCCTGTGTGTGGAATAAAAAATGGAACTGAGTGCACTTTTAGCAACATTTGCAAGTAAGTTATAATTAATCTCGCATACATTGCTCGGCTACATGGTTTAAATTGAAGAAATTTCACTTGAGCTGCTGTAAAACATTGTACTACCAAACCACACAAATGGGCAGATTTTTTTACTTATATATTTCATGCCCTAAAGTGTAGTGAATAGATCTGTACTCAAAACCCACTTTTGAATATTTTGTTTAGAGTCGCGGAAACGTGGCGTAGTGTTGGCCTTAGTCATACGAGTTTTTTTTTCAAATTGTTTTTTTAGTTACAATCTCATTTTCTCGTTTTTAAGTTTTGCGATTTGAACAAGGTAGCTACTTGTTCCTCCTAGTGTGTGCAATGAACGATTCATTGTATAATAACATGATAAAGGAAAATATTGCCAATTATGCTCATAATTACATTGCTAATACCTCACTTAGTAATTGTATCATTGTTCTCGTCAAGCATGTGTTCTGATTTGTAATTTATTTTCTGTTCCAGTCTTTATCGATGCAAATTTTTATACCACGGAGAATGCAGGGAATGAAATTTTAAAGTAAATACCTATATAAGAAGCGGATTTTATAATTTTTTTCTACAATTACCCATTTATTCCATATTATAGTTCTTATATTATAAAATATTAAAATTTTGTTTCATAAAAGAGTCTACTTTTTTCAATTTTGTTGTAAAGTTTGCAGGGTACAAGTGGTATGTAAGTTCCTCTTTATGAAAACCTTCTTCACTCGCTCGCTCGCACTCTTAATTCAGCTCACAGCAGTTGCTGTGTGCGAAAAAAATATTAATGAAAACGTGCGATACACGTGAGTTGCCCTTTAAGTTGGGTGCTAAGTCCGAAGATTGTCGCAGGACACTGCGACTGTTATCTCCAGTAGTAGTCCAGATACCTAGTAGAGGATAAACTAGATATCCTCTGGTCGATCCTGACGCGTAAGAATAATCTCGATAGCTGCACGGAGAGGCATCGGGAAGTGAGCGTGCCTACAACTCCGTTACAAGCGAGAAGTGTTGTTAGTTGAATTTAGATTCAACGTGTTAGCGGTGGCAACCGCTAGTTGTGCAATGGACAACGTGATGTGAGCGTGCCAACAGTTCCGGTACCTATTTGGAAAATAAACTAGCCTTTTGAGATTCGGGTAATGCTCGTGACAATGGTCTGTGACAACCCTGTCCCAGATTGTTGGTACTCAATCGAAACCTCCATTGAACATTACGCCAACTTAATTTTTTGATCTGTTCTATTTTTATTTTGTTTTTTTTTCTTTTTTTTCACAAAATTAGCTTTTCTTCTTTTTTTCAAATTTTGTTTTTTGTTTCTTTATTTTGTTTTTCACAATATTCGGAGAGCATAATAATAGTAACTAAATAACACTGTTTACAAAAATAACAGAAGATGACCAAAAATTAAAGTCGCCAACTTTAGTTTTTTCGCCAATTTTAGTGTTCATTGGAGGTATCTATGTGGCAAGTGGCAAAACATAAGATTACACAACTTCGCTAACCTCCGTACACTGTAGTCTCCTGTATTATCGGCTGTTCCCAAGAATGAAAAGTCCGCTCAAAAGTCCGTTTGGCGACACAGAGACGATTTAAAAAAAATGCGACGAGTGTACTAACGGCTATTTCGAAAACTGACTACCATAAATGCTTCGGGATGTGGAAGCACCAGTAGGAGCATGTTGTTCAGTCGAATAGAGATTACTTTGAAGGATGCCACGAGACGGATTATGATTAATGGACCCAGCGCGGAGTAACGTAATATGAAGGTTGGGTACTTTTGAGACAGCCCTCATATTTCGATTAAATAAAACGTTGATTCGTCGTTGAGTCGGCATTAGCTACACACTGATTTTGGGATTTTGGGATCAATCTATCAAGTTATTAAATATTTGTGTCAAAAGCCCCACCTTTTTCCTAAGGCTGGAACAGGTGCAAGGTTGACGAATTAGGCTCTTTTTAAAATGAATTCCTGATAATAACAATAGTCCAATAATCACAAAAAAAATATGATTGCTAGTAGTTCTTAAATATTTTCTTTTTTATAAAAAAGGGCGCATTTGATCTCCATCTCACCCGACGGAAAGTGACGATGAGGTCGATTATGTAGCATGCACACCTAAATAATGCCTATTCACTCTCGCCTTGAAAATGCCTGAAAGTTATAACTTTCAGGGAACAAGTCTTCCAGGCAGGGAATTCCGCTCCATAGCCGTTCGCCATTATAAATGTGGAAGCGAAACGCTTCTTGCGAATCCTTGGAATATCCACAACATATGGGTGGAATCCCAGCCTACGTCTAGTCCCTCGATGATGGAAAGGGGAAGGCGGAATCAAATTATGCAATTCCATCGCACACTCTCCGTGATATATGCTGTAGAATATCGAAAAGCAGGCAACTGTATTGAGCAAAATTACAATTTATTAAGCTCTTTCTACTTAATAAAATTTAAAGTTACGTCCTTCAAATTCAATAGAAAGGAATTTCTCTTTACATTTCACGCTTTGCGACGGGTAGGTAGACTGCGCGTGTGTTATTGAGCGGGTTTATGTCACAAAAAGTTTCTGTTTTTAATTTCACTTGTATTTGTGTTAATTTCTTTTTTTTTAAATAAGGTACATCCACAGAATACGTATTACACATTCCAAAAATACTTAAATAATCATTTTAATTTCTAATACATATCCCATTAAGGAGTACACAACATTCAGAAATTATTTGTACATTAGATTATAGTAAGACAAAACTTTTTGAAACTAGTTTTATTATTAAAATATTATATCCTTATGTAGATATAACTTTTTCAGTGGAAGACAATATCTGACAGTCACGAGTTATGCTGATGTATGAAGATACTTGTTAATTAAAATTCTTCTCCACATACTCCTTCGCTTATATATTCACAATCTCCAAGTCTGAAAAATAACAAAGTTGTTGTTAACGGTTAACGGTGTATATACTTTTGATCGTTTCATTTGCATTCTCTGGAAAGCTTTCCATTCGTTAAATTGATATAGAAAAGTTCGGGATCAATACACAATGTATTTGGTTGTCCTCGTATGTATTTGGATGATCGTTGATTGAACTTAAAAGGCTCAGCTCTAGTTTGAAACAGAAAAATATAACATATTTTTTTAAACTATATACCTCAACTTATTACAATTTGGCCCAGAATATCCCGTCTTCTTTGAAATGTCTTAAGGGACATTTTTATACCGTTGGATTCCGAATTTTGAGGTCTATCGACCTACATATTTGAAAATTCGATATCCTTTATAGTTTA